TAGACTCGTACACAACTGCAACACCACTACTAAATTTCGACCTCAAGGTTAATTAGGGGTCCCTTTAAGCAAAGTAGACAGCAGCAAACTGCTGACTGTCATTAAAAATGCGCCCCTCTGTTGCCCAAAGTGTGCGTTACCTAAATTCCAAGTGTGAGTGGCAGAAGTCAACTTTATAGCAGCTGGGGTGCATAGAAAAGGAAACGATGGCGAACAGCTCGCCCAGTGCGATGCTGTTCAGGTCTAACTACATAAAGTTATGGCATTATTATTTTTCGTGCACAGAAGATAGTGCAAACAAAAATTATGCCACTGGTTTTTAGGAGTCATATAAAAAATTAAAGCATTGACTATCAGAATGCACACTTATCAGGGGCATTTTTACAATTTTCACAACCAATGTCACCATCTAAGACTTCAACCTTTGAAAATGAAAAAAAAAAAAAAAACTTTTGTTACAATATATTTTCTTTTAACTTGTGGAACCATTCCAAACAAAATTTTGCAAACTACATCTCTTTTTTCTCGCTTATAGTAAGTATTCTCCGTAATGAAGAGGTTCACTGGAACCTGATTGTCTGTTCACAAATGTCTGCCCCAGGTGAGAATAGTGGAAGATTTGCAAAACTATATATAATGAACATCATAACGTTTGCATTGTCGTTGTAGTACGATTGAACACAATCCGCACACAAGTGTTTAAGTATACAACTATTTCCTTATTAACATTCCACACGTGAATTTTTTTTATCTTTCCTTTTTACGTGACCTTGTCTAGGCTGTTTCCTCAGGCGGGCGTTAGGTCCACGATAGATTCAAAGATGGATCCAACACACGTATCTTCAAATTTACATGTATTGGCTCATAAACATTCTTTCCTTCAAGTTTCTTATCTTCCCCACTTATGTGACCCAGTGCTTGTCTTACAAGGGTTTTTTCGAGGGAAGTGTTGAGTCCAAACGAGTTTTCTGGTTTCGCACACAAATTTTCAAACCTGCTCAAGATGTGCCCTTGGATGCAAAAGCATGTGAGATACTGTTAGCAACAGACCCACACTCTCATGTGCGTGTTCGGATAACATTTCTGCTATAGACACAGGGTAGTTGTAGAGATACAAGATGATTACAGAAGCTAACAAACACAGTATCTCTGTCAGTTTCTGTCATTGTCCGTGTGTACAGAAGAATACTTTAGCCTGGAAGAACGAAAGTCAACCAACAAGCCTAGCCTTAACTATTTAGAAAGAAAACATGTTTGTGTTAGTGTATGACAACTATTAATACAGTACAAATAGATAATGTTGTACGGTTGACTGGTTAGAGAGAACCCGAAGGGACCAGAAAAATGTGTCTAGTTCAACTGGAGTTGTGCTTACTGAAAGGTGAACAGAAGTGTAGAATTCAAGCTCAACATCAATTATGTTAAAGGCAGTGGTTTAATAGACTTGTGTTCACTGAGAGTCTAGTGCGCATACATAACGTGGCTACCTTTGACACTCGAAAATCTGTACTTTCCAGGTGCTTGGATTAGCTTCTCCACCAAGCTTGGCTATTGCTAATGCTTTATTGATAACACTGGATTTCACAGGAAAAATGACATCTTTTTATACTTAATGCCATTCTTCATGTATCAGGTTTCCTACGTTACGTACTTAGTAGTACACATACAAAACAAAAACCTTTCTAAACATAAAGTAGTGGCTACAAAGCTTCGATATGTTTGTAAGCATGCAAACTTTGTAAACGCACAACTTGTCACACAAAAGTAAGCTAGGCTAACATTTAGTTCCGTGCAATGCACCCATGTATGCACAGAACACAGAAGATTCCTTAAAAGACAGGCTCTGCAGCTGGAGGTGCAGTACTAGAACCACGCATAAGGTGTAATGTGAACACAAAGCACCTGAAGAGGTCACATGAAAAACATGAAATCTATGAAAAATAACAAGGTTCAAAGAAACAAGGTAAGCCCTACACTTTTCAAGTATTTTTCGTCATATTGTGGCGCATTTCTTTCAGCAACCAATAGAGATAGAAGCCAGACGTTTGCAACATTTTGTTCAGTGCTTTTCAGCAACCAATAGAGATAGAAGCCAGATGTTTGCAACATTTTGTTCAGTGCTTTGTGTTCTATGAACGGAACTACAATATACATATTATGCCAGAAAAGAAATATTATTAATAATGTTTTCTTCATTCAGGAAAAAAAAATTTTAGACAATTTTTGCATACCTTCTTACCATAAAATAAAAACGTTTTGTTCCACGTGCTCAATTTCAGTTCAGTATACTGATACATAAACACTGAAATAGTGCACAAAAAAGTCAGTGCACTATCTTTTATCGTTTTGAAGACAACTGCAGTGCCATGATAAAAAATCAAGTTTTCGGAAAACACAGCTCAGGGTGAATATCATGATCTTATGGCTTTCCCTCTGTCAAGATTTTCTGACCCGACCTGTACCGTATTTACTCGATTCTACCGCCCCCTCGATTGTAACGTGCAACCAGTTTCCACGACGGAAAAAAAAAAAAAGTAAGACATCGATTGCAATGCGCACCCATTTTTCTCGTTGGCCCGCACGATCACACCACTCAGGAAAACGACTCCTTTCGGGAGCGTCTTCCGTTTAAATATGAGGTACGGGGAAAGCTTGTGCTTATCTGACGTGCAACGGAGCATCGCCGTCACTCTAGTTTTACCATGGCCCGATGTCAGCACGCGATTTTGCTTCGCCCCCTTCTTCTCGACGGCTGTGGTGCCAGGCATGCCGAAGTAAAGAGGCGTCTGATCGGCATTCCCGATTTGCCCAAGCAGGTGACCGTTGTTGTGCCGCAAGTTTAGGACCAACCTCTGAAAACTGTGAAGCTTTTCTTCGTACTCCTATGGCAACTTTTGGCATATGCCCGTTCGCCTTCAGAGGGAAAAGCCTTTCCTTTCATAAAGTTAGTTAGCCAGCACCTGCTCGCTTTAAACTGGCTCCGCATTAGCCCTTATTCTAAGGCTAACTGCATAGCCTGCACTTGGAGCAGTTCTGTCGTCACGGGCCGCTGTGCCGCTCGCTGCTCAAGCACATATTCGCCGAGCAGCTTTTTAATTTGCAAAAACCGACCTTGCTGTGGTCCACTGAAGCCTTCGCGGAATCTTTGCTGTCGACAATGTTCTGCTTTTGTTTCTGCCAGTCCCGCACGCACGTTTCGGGAACTCCGAACGACCGCGATGCGGCCCGATTTTCGTCCGTTTCAGCACACGTGATGACTTTTCTTTTAAAAGCGGCATCGTGGTGCACTCGTCGAGTTTTTGGAGTCGGCCCTTCCATGCTGTCGATGCTAATGCACTACAAGATGACGAACTCCTCAGCACACGTACGAAGTGCCGCACATGGGAAACACACAGGCAGAAATGGCCGACGCGCCATGATGACGCACGTAGGGGGCGGCCATTTTGGAAATGCCGATGGCAATAGAATGACCGTATTCATTTTTTTTTTCGTACTCGATTCTAACGCGCATGTGATTTATGAACTCACTTAACCGCAAAAAAGGTGTGCGTTAGATTCGAGTAATTACGGTATATTCGGTCTTGGCTAACAATCTGAACAACGTTGTGAGACGATTTTAATTTCACCGAAAAAAAAAGACAGACTTCCATGATTTTTGTTGATTCACAATGAAAGAAAGCTACGAAAACAGCGCTCCTAAAAAAGAACATGTTCATGGTCACTTTGCTTTTAAATTAAGCTTTCAGGTTCATAAAAGTTCTGCAGTATGAAATGTGGTAGATCCAAAAAAAAATAAAAATAGATTCCCCCCTCTGCCTTTGCTCCCCACAGCCCTTTAAGGCAAAGCATCACAATAAATGAAGTACACTTCTTACCATTTCATGAAGCATCCATGGATATATCCATCACTACAAGATGTGAGATCAGATATCCTTTTAGGTTCAAACGAAAAGCTATTTGTTTGCTGAAATTAATCAGTTTCTTCGTAGCCTCAAATAGTCTCCCTTCTTGAAATTACAAACTGCTTTGGCTGAAAACGTCCGTCACAACTGATCCACACTGCGTTGCTTGATGTGCTCGCTTATCTCAGTGGCGCTGACGTCAGCCCTTATCTTTTTCTTTGTTTTGAAACTTAAGTCGTCGTCCTGACGGCACACATGAAAGCACTTATAAGGCCCTCAGACAAGTGCTGTTATCACCCCTTATCCGTCACATCTTCAATGTGATGCTTCCGGTTCTTTTGTGAATGGTAACTCTGCTATACCAATTATTACAAATAGCAAGTATCAAGCAGCCTTAATGTTTTTTTATCAATGCTTCAGGTAGTTGAAAGATGACAACCCACCATGCTTAATTTTTTTTTTCACACCATTTCAACTCCTCACCCAAACCTACACTGATATTTTCTTCGCATTCTCACACATAAGTTTGTGGACAGAAACCTTACAGTTCTTTTACTCCCCACAAAAATTTACACAGCTATCAATGTCCCGCTTTACAAATTTGAATAACTTCCTCTAACCTAAACAGAGAGAGCCAATTAAAAAAGTCTACTGTGAACTTTGCATGGTATCACTTTTAAATTCATTCCCTAAAGACATGAAGAAAGGAATTCTTTGACATAAAACCAACACACCAAGCTTTCCATCCTAATGCCGACATAAAGAGATTCTTCAAAATTTTTAAAAGCATATTGCGTTCATGGTGGCTATACTTTCAACTATTTAATATTATTCGTGATAACTGCTTATCAATATTTGTGCTATGTATGTATGTTTTATTTCCATTTTACTTCAAAATTTTGTTCAACTTATTTTTCTGTGTTTATTACAGTTCACGTAGTTCTTATTTTGTGGTGTATGACTGGACAAGAGGTCGTATCACAAGTCTCTCAGCTATTACGCTACCTTCAGCTTCTACGTATTATTTATGAAATGTATTACAAGAATTCTGATGATAAATCTCAAAATGCCGAGAACCGTCACCCATACCGAACGTACCGTGTCATAATCGGCACCAGTGACGTCGGTGCCATTGACATCGAGGATCATGTCGCCCACTCCGAGGCCAGCCTGGTGGGCGGGGCTGCCTTCCTGAATGTCCGAAACGAAGATGCCCTGGCCGGCTTCCGCATGGCGGCCCTCCAGGATCATGATGCCGAGGCCGTGCGTCCCCTGGACATTAAGACAAACGAAAACCAGAACATGAATCAGTGTTAGTGTAAAAAAATATTGATGAACTATGAACTCATTTAACTGAGAGCCCAGATGAAAAACTAATTTTAATTTAAAAGTATTTGCAGCGGGAGAATTTCCGGTTAAATAATCAAGCTGGAAAGACCTGATAATTCATCATCATCATCATCAGCCTGACTACGTCCACTGCAGGACAAAGGCCTCTCCCATGTTCCGCCAGTTAACCCAGTCCAGGCCAATTTATACCCGCAAACTTCTTAATCTCATCTGCCCACCTAACCTTCTGTCTTCCCCTAACTTGCTTGCCTCCTCTGGGAATCCAGTTAGTTACCCTTAATGACCAGTAGTTATCCTGGTAATTAAGGGTAACCAGAATAACTGCTGGTCATTAAGGGTAACCTGATAATTAGCTTACAGTAGATGAGTTTCCAAAGAACTTTGTCGGTCTAAGGATGAAATTTCGCCATATTTCAGCGAAAGATTCATCCAGTTCAAGATGAGTCAATTAGAGCATTATAGCTGGATTATCAAACCGGAAGTTTTTTCAGCTGGAAAAATTTCCGGTTCAATAATCCAGCTGGAAGTGAAACTCCTTTTATCTGGGACTGAATGAAGACAATGTTGCTGCTGTAACAGTGTATAGCCAAAAGACAGTCTTAGAATAGGGTTCAGAGGGTTACCATTCATTGGATGTGGTACGTTAAGCAGGATGGAATACTGGGCGAGTTGGCACAGGTTCATCGAGGCTAACAGCGCAACTAACAGCGAGACTAAAATGGACAGAGAATGAGACGCATGGCACAAAGCTGACCTTTAGCTTAAGTTTTAGCCAATAACAACACAAAAATGTTGCCCTTGTGTACATGTTGGGGCGGTTTTAAATCCTGCACTTAATACACATTACCTGTGGAAGTACTATCAGCATCAAATGAAACCCGAACAAATGCAAGCCTTCGCAATGATATAGTGTGTGCCGTCCAGTTATCACCATTGACAGGCCCGTGCATCTTTTTCGGCATCTCTGCGCATAAGTGTTTGCCTGTCCATGGTGATAAAAGGACAGCACGCACTATACCGTCACGAAGGCTTGCCGCTGTTCGGGTTTCATTTGATGTCGATAGTACATAGTACATAGAAACCTAAGAAAGTACATGGCATGGGCAACCTTGAGATTCTTTTAGTTTTTGCTGCCACCTCGGCCATCGCACTCTTGGCGAGACAATGATGCTCTTTGTTGCACAGCACGGGTATCAACGAGATGCTTCAGAAAGATTTTTTGTGATTGTAGGTAAATTATTGCGATAGATTGTTGGTTATTTCCATAGCTTACGTAACTTTAGATGTCAGTTTATTTTACGCTGTGGTTGAGCATTGTAAGCATTTTTTTAGGCCCGTATTGACCACTGCGTGACCATGCAACATGAGATGATGAGGGACACACCGGGCCCCTGAAGTGCAATTCAAACACGAACTGAGCTCCTCGGAATTATTTTCTGCTTCCAGAAATCCTAACAATTTCAGATGCAGCTTCTTCCCCCGCACGATTGAACATTAAAATTTGTCACTTGCCAAAGTCTGTTTGCTACCCATTTCTGAATTTTAAACATTACTGATGAACAGTTCCTTTATATGTTCCTACCTCACTTCCACTAGGATGTTCCTATCTCTGCACATTGCATATCTCTGTACATTTACTTACATGTTCAGCAACTCCTACCCCAGCCATAAGCTGCAGTTATATATTGATAAATTAAACAAATAAATAAAAATAAAATGCTCATCTTTGCATTGACCACATAAACCATAAGTGAATCTTTCTGAGCTTGCAGGGAAGGTGCTTCAATGACATTAAATCACCCATTAAACAATGACATTCTAGAACAGAAAGTAGAAAATTTTCATCCGCTAGGCTACCAGTGATTGAGCAACTGGTATTATCTACCATAAAGAGCGAGAATTCTAACATATTATTTAAAAATTTTCATTCAGATTACACATGCCCATGTGTAAAGCACATGCTTGAACATATACATTTTGCTACTTGACTTCAAGCTGCACACGCGTGTTAGAAATGAGAAAATTCTTTCTAGCATTAGTCTTCAAACTATTTCCTCGTAAGTATATGAGTGAGATAATATATATTTCAAAAGCGCTTGTTCTGAGAAGATAAACAGCTGTCTGATAAGTAGTTTTAAGATCAATATCCTTAGAGGAAAAAATGTGCACTTAGAAATCTTGAAAATTTCGAATATTCTTTTTATAAGAAACGTTCGAGAGCATAATATTTTAATTTGCCTCTACATAAATGTAGTCAAATGTTTTGAAAATGAAGACCTTGGGAAATCTCAAATTTCCTCTTATACGGGTTGCTTCATTCTTTAGGAAATACCGGACTGGATAACTGAAAGGTTCAAAGAGTCCGAGCGTTCATCTGCGCAGATAGACTTTAAAGCAGAACTTGTGGGACACACTCACCTTTTTCACGGTTACAGTCCGGACCCCTCGGTAGTTTGCATATTTTATTTCGTGCCCCTGCAAAGAAAATGACGCCAAAAAAAACAAAAACATTCAATGCGCTTAGTTATAGCACACAGGTTATAGTCCTTTGGTGACGACAGTAGGAGCGAGAAATCAAGCAGTGCTAATACATTTCAAACATGAAAAATTTAGAACAGGGACAATGAAAATGACAACGATTTCACCGATTTCAATGGATTGATACGTGGAGTTTAACCTCCCAAAGCAACCATGTGATTATGAGAGACGTCGATGTGAAGGGCTCCGGTAATCTCGACCATCTGGGGTTCTTTAACGTGAACCCAAATCTAAGCATACGGGCCTACAGCATTTTTGCCTCCACCGAAAATGCAGCCGCTGCAGCCAGGATTCGATCCCTCGACCTGCAGGTCAGCAGCCGAGTACTTTACCACCACAGCAGGGCGAATTCACTGATTTTACCTAGCTACCTGATTGCAGCCACAGAACCGCCCACTTTGCTGTGAAAAGATGCTCGATATGCCAGAAAACGTGCAGAAAAATATTTACATCCAGTACTGCTGCACGGAAGTTACTGATGTGACTTAAATTTTGATAGCAACTAATAAAATGTACATAATTTTATTACTGGAGAAAATGGGTCATGTTCTGCAACAAGGAAGAAAGAGGAAAGGTCGCAAGCTTAATGAAATGCTATCTAATGACAGTGAGTGAGGCCAAAATAAAAAGATGTAATTTTAGACTTTTAATTTTCTTGTCTAATAACACATGAAACGAGCAAGAATAGGGCTTTCAGAGAAACAATGATCAGTCTACACTGATTTATCACTTCACTTTAATATGCCCCTAACATTTGTAAACACATATAGTTCAAAGCTATATGTGTAGTGCATGTAAAGTAAAGTGTGGATCTGGCATAAAAGTTGGGTTGAAATCTCGGTCAATTATCACTTCCGGCGAACTCTAAAGGCTAGTTCACACCGATGACCAGCCACGATCGCTTGATTAAGTTAGTCGCAGATGGTTGCAAAAGGCCAATTTGGTGACAAAGCAATTGCTTTGGCTCAGTTACTTGCCGATATATGTTTAAGCCGTACAACTGCTGTCGCATAGCTCTCAGCTAATCACAAGCACATGAACAGGACGTAGGCTTATTTTACAAAGAAATAGCGATATGAGCTATATATGAGCGTATGAGAATTCTATGTGGCGACGTATATAGGTCCCATGTAAATGTGAACATGAGTCACTTGGAATCGCTTTTTCCCAACTAGTCACGAACAAACTCGCGACTGGTGCTAGTCACAGGTTGAATGAGCCTTAATACAGCTTCAAAGTGAAAAGTACCAAATTTTGTTAGTTGTTTTTAGTGTAACTGTTCACATTTTGAGATTCTGCACAAAACTAGTGCTATAGCGCCAACTGAAAACGAGGACAAATGTGCTTTGTCAGCACATTTAGTGACAGTTTCTTTTTTGGCGCCCTAAACCTTTTGCTTAACCTAGCTTTTTTCATTGCTCATAATTTGTCACATGTTGTTCTTTGTGATTCTGGCATATATAAACTTTCGTCACCGCTAATAAACTCGGTTGGAAGTTACGGCCCATTCTTGTTTGTCTCTGTGCCCCATTCTTCAGTTCGATCTATAGCACTCGTCGTGACTTACAAACTAGCCCAAGCTGCTACCCTTCTAAGTTTGCACTAAAGGTTGCATAGCCTATCATGCTATCGCCCCTTATGAAGCCAGGATGCCAATTCCTCACCTGCTCGTCTAGTTGCATCGGATACTGAGTGAGGGGCTTCACGGCCATGTCCTCCACTGCGTCTTCTCTCCTATTAACAACATGAGAAAGAAGAAGTGAATGCTACCTGAGGTCCCACAAAGCTTGCACTCATGCTTTCTTTTCTTTTTCATGTTGGAACATAGAAGTGATGCGGAAAGGCAGGCAACATAACCCGTGTTTAAGTGTATACACACAACACTACAGTGAGTCTGCTTTAGTTTTCGATTCAGATGGTCCACACCAACAGCATGCACATAAACTCCATTTATACAAATGTTTTTGCCCAATACACAAGCCAGAAATACCAAAGATTGCAATGTTATCACTGTGTACGGCACATTTCTTTAATGAAATACATGTTCTGCAGTCAATCAACAAACACTTCTAGTATAATGCAGACAACCTACTGATGCACAGTTATTTCACACTTGTTTGCTTTTGTTTTCCAGTATGTGCATACCACAGTCAGTTTTACATGCGTGAACACCCCCTCCTACTATAGCCACAGCAAACTGCAATATGTATATATAGGAGCACAAAAAGACTTCATGATGTGCCAAGAGGTATGGCTTACCTGTGGAGGACAAACTTGTACGTGGGACCCGGAAGACTCTTGATGATGGCTGAGGCATTGAGGTGACACCGGCCGTACATTACGACTCCATTCACCTTTGGAAAAGGGCAAAAGACAGATGCAAATCATACAGTGCGAACATCAGACTTTTTAGTTAAGCATTTCAAGGAAAGCAGCGTTACAAACACAACATGTGACATTTGAGACTGGAACAGAAGACATTTCCAGAGCCTAATGTGGGCAGATTGTTTTTTATTGAATGTTTCAGGACCATATCTTTTAATACATATAGCTACAACTTCTCCACTCGAAGTTCACATGCAAGTGGAGCTAATTAAAATCGCATTTGACTTCCCAACTCTCTGTGTCCTCAATACGCTAACTCAATATACTAAATTATAGATATGCACTGTTCCTTAAAGCCTGTTTTTCTAATGAAGCCAAATGTACTAGCAACATTCTAAGCATAGGCAATGATCTGATCCCACACTCGTGAAAATGCCCGATACCACATCTAGTGGAAATGCACACAAAAAAGTTTGCCTTCAAAGTGTGCGAGAAGTAAAGGCTTGTTGTACAATATATCTTACAATATTAACAGTAGAAAAAGAAAAGTTCATGTTGATCATAGAAAAAAAGTGCCTCAAATGGCACAAAGAAAAAAAAAAAAAACACTGTAGCGTGAGGTTGAGGCAAAATACAGTAACCAATGGCCAGATAGTTTAGTAAAGTGCTCTATGCACTATTGGTCGTATGTGATGGTAACTCTACTTTTTCTTTTACCTTTGCTGCTCTTATTCTGATTCTGATCACCATGTTGATCCAATATTTCAATTAAGGTTGTTAAAAAACAACAGCCAGAAAGAAATATAAGTTTAACAAGCATGGAAGCACATTAGAATGGCCTGTGCCACCAAGCTGTCCCTCAGACTTTCAGAGATTGCACTACGATTGCCGGTAGACGTAGCAAAGGAAGCAAAGGGAAGAGCCGCGCCTTCTGCTCCTCCCTTTATCACGACATGCTTTTGTGCCTCAGGCATGCGTATCTAAGCAAGTGAAGCCCCAACTCGCCTAGAAAGAAGTCCTTTTGAATTAATGGCGTGCGCGTGGGATGAAATGATAACATGCAGTCGGACTATATTGTAAAAACTTTTGAAAAGTCCATAAACAGGGGTTGCGTCGAAACGTCGACTCGACACAAGTTCTGTTTATAAACTTTTCACCGCAAGCTTCCATCTTCCCCCTTCTATTGTAGCAAGTTAAAACTTAAGTGCCATCATTTATTTTTGTCACTGTCATTTCTCATGCTATGAACTTTATTGAGCCTCAAGCCAAGCTTGAGTGGAATGTACCTCTAGCAGCTCATCGGCTACCCGTATGCGGCCATCGCGGGCAGCCTGGCCGTTTGGGTGGAGGCCGCAGACGAAGACGCTCATGCGGCTGCGGTTCTTGTTGCCGGCTAGCGAGAGGCCGAGGCCATTGGGTCCCTTCTGCAGCTCCACGAGGAGCAGCTCCCCGCCAGCCAGCTTGAGCTCCTGATACTTGCGCTCGATCTTCTCTGCAGGGAGAGAAGGAGAGAGAGAGGTTGAAGAAAGTATTCATCTGTAACTGGGCGCAAAAATAAACAAAAGACCGTCTAGAAACGCCATGAAGAAACGCTCTGTTGAGACTGACGAGCAATCATTTGAGAACTCTACTCTCTTTCAACAGACACTTTATAAGAACAAAAAAAACGAAGGTTACAGCTTCATTACCGAACTTTTTTCCAGAACTTAAGCTCTCGAATTTCACTTGCAGCACTGAGAATTGTAAAAAAAATCTATGTCTTACCCCACTGGTCATTCGCCATAGTTTGCATGCTTTCTTCAAGCAAAAGTCATTCTATCTTCTTAGTCACAATGGTATGAAGCCGGCAGGTTACACTCATACAAAAGCTCCTGTCAGTGAGTGCAGCCACTGCTGCATGCGGCAACTCCCATTGTTTCAGTGATAGATGCTGATAAGAAGTTCAGTAACCACTGACCGGCTATCTGTGATAACGGGATCAGTGATGTGTCCCCTTCCAGCAGAGATGCTGACGGTGCACAGTCAAAAGCCTAGTTGACTCACTTTTGCATAATGAATTTCAGTCATTTGTCATGTTGCGTATGAAGTTGAGGTGCACTGTGGAGTGAATTAAAACTTGCCTCTTAGCTTGATGATGTGCCCACGCGTGTGTTACTTGAATGAAAGTTTGGTTAATGTATTTTAATGTATTTCATTGCGACATTGGCGACCCAACGCAGCGAATTTCCACATGTGGCTATAAAAATGAGTGTCTTCTGTGAACTGTGGGAGTTATAATTTTGTAAAAGATATCAACACAGCTAAAGATTCCTTTTGGTAATGGATATCTGTCAGTTTGGAGCTCAAGAGAGATGGAAAAATGCACTAGTTGAAGGCCTCTCATCGCACTCAATTTTTAAAACTGCTACCATGTTAAATATGCGAACAATGATCATGCTTGAAATATCCAGCAATCTCACTAAGATAAACTCCTAACGACATCTTGTTTGTTACCTAATTATGGTCCTCCTGTTCCCCATAATTGATATGCAATCATGTTTGTAAATCAATTATGCAGACTTCTAATGCATGTATAGGAACCAACGCGCCAAGAAGGATTTGTCAACTAGCCAATTATATTGCTCATGTTTTGCAGTAATTTTTACAGAACTGTGAACGCATGTCTGACAAGCAAATCTGGAAAACAACCTGCAACAATAAATTACTACACTGTCTCGAGGACCAGCTCACTTTTAAACATGCCATCATACTTTCACAATATTAAAGGGGCACTACAGAGAAAAATGTTTTGTCGCGCATTCAGTAGTAAAGTACAGTTTAACAGTCTTAAAGGTACCACTCTTACCGTGTGATGACGCTTGGTAAACAAGAAAAGATCCGAAAAAAAAAAAAAATGTGTGTCGAGATGCCACTTCAAGATTTCAACACCAAATGCATGACATCGTAGATTTTGACAGCGTTTATTGAGTCCTGCTTAGTAAGTACATTGTGATCTGCGGGTGCCGTAGACGTAGCATACCAAGTTGAAGAAAGCTTCCTAGAGCCCATGTCACGAAAATGCGAAAAATACATTTTGAAAGTACTGAATCTATGCACGGACGTTTTAGCATGAGAACTAAAAATGAAACTTCTTGCTCGATTTTCTTCACTAATAAGAAACTTGTAATTGCAAAACTTGTGATGCTAGGGTTCTCAGAGCACAGTTCATCATTCTAAACCAAGTAATTGCTTAATTTTAGTGTCCTCTCCAAGGAATGACCCAGAAATTAGCCAATGAGGTAACAAAGCATATGTGCCATACAACAGGACAGACATGAATTAATGACACCAACAGATAATGAAGCTAAGGAAGGTATAAGAGGACATTATTTATAAGTTTTAGCAGTAATGTAGTGATTATGACACAAATGATAAGACATCAAAGAGGACAAAATGTCAAATTGCTGCCGGTAGTTCGCGTGTGTTATCCGAAAGTTGCAGGTTCAATCCCTTTACTCTGAATGACTCAATTTCGACTCATTATTTCTGTGAGTGAGCAAGGTATTCATTGAATTCTACTACGTTAATGACACTTTATTTTGATATAGAAGGCTTAGATTACTTTGCGTGCAAGCTTTCTCTTGAAGCGATGACACCACGTAGCCCTCAAAGAGAGACGAAATGCTGTATCCTCAACGATTCCTTTGATAACTTCCATATATATTTCTACCTGTAGAAATACACACACTAAACACGCGCATGTTTTTAGTCCTGTACTTTTCTTCCTTGGTATCTGTTTCTGTGGGCATTGCATGATGAGCAAGACAAACAAATGTGCAACTTTCCAACGACAGCTGGACCCCACAACAGAAGTGAGAGGACGTGCAGGTGTGCGCCCTGCGTTGTCGAGGTCTGACTACACCACATATCTAGCGGGCAGCCTTGACGCCCGAGCCCGACACGTGCAATATACCTGTTGTTGAAACAGCTGCAGTTGGCTAACGGGCAACAGATGACTTTAGAGTTTGAGGCACCTGCACTGCAATCGCAACAACACCAATGGCACAGCTGGCAAGACAACCAAATGAACACTTCGGACTAGCACGACGGAATGGGTGACGGCACTAAGTTGGCCTAACTGTGCAACATGCATTTTGCATTTTGGCTGGATTTGCATTTGCGTTTTGGAAATACTAATTAAAAAATTAACAGAACATCATAATATTGAAAAGAGCTACAACCAATTTGAGCCCGAGAGTCACTGACAATTTCGCTAAGCAAGATTGGTACACACAAAATTAAAGGTAAGTATGACAGAAAAACATTCATTTGCCATGTTTGCCTGAAAATATTTGGTAACGAGAACACTATAAAGTTGTGCTGCAGTAAATCGAGTCATGACAGGTACAGTAAAAAAAAAAAAATCAGCCATGAGCACTTACAGAAACCACATGTGTCTTGCAGGTATGAATACCTTATGCTGAATATTTGTCTCATTAGCTTTCAAAGGAGACTCTGAATGAAGCAATCATAAAATATTATAAAACATAACAAGCCTTTGTGTGTCTGCAGTATGCGATTTATTCAACCCTCTTTTTGCAAAGAAATTGTCCGGGATTCATACGAAAGCACTATAGGATTGCATTAAGAAGTCGAAATACCCGACCTGGCTTCAGAAATTTAATGATGTGTTGTGACCGAAAAGAAAAACATGCATGGTAGTGAATTCTACACGTAATCCCTCTAGCCTGATGAGCTTAAATGAAGCCCTTCAAAACATGAGCCAGAGCAGAAACAACACTTTGAATTTTTAAATTTAAATGCGCCTCAGCAATTGTTTGCTTATTTGAAATGAAATGTGGACAACAGCAGTTTCCTTAGAGCAGACACAAAATCGAAAACAAGAGGCAAGCCCACCACACTGTACATAAAACGCTTTACTTTCAAAACATGCAAAGCTAGCCAAACGCATTCACCTTGCGAGTGCTGTTCATGAAACATAGCTGCCAGCATATTACCAAACATATGCAACAAAGCAATAGTGAAACATACAAAAAAAGGATGAAATGCATTTTCCGACCTTTCTTTTCTGATACTCCACTGAGAGACTTGAAGGAACCATGGTTGTTAAGCCTAAACCAGATTGTGTATATCGCCTTCATCGAAGCCGGAGTGTGTGAGAAAAATAAAAATAAAAGGCCTGCCCTGCCTGTCACCCCCTCTACTGCCGGGATTTGCACGCGGCACTCGTCTTTTGTCAGAGGCAGGTGTTGTGGGTGCGAGAGGTGCGGAGAGGGCAGAACAAAAAGACACGGGCATGAAAGAAAAAAAAAAAAGAAATGATGGATGAGTTGAAAAGAAAGCTACAAATCTACCTGCAATGAGAACACAAAAAAAATAGACTCACGCTCTAACTCCAAGTGAATAACCCGACATTGAAGCAAAAAGAAAAAAAAAAACGTGAACAATGAAACTGGAGAATGTCAAAATGCAACGTAAAGCCACTTGTATGACAGGATGAGTGTGAAGAAAAAAATAGAAATAAACAAGAGCGACAAACTCGGCATACGAGGCCGCAAAGTTGAGAAGGAAAGAATGGAAACATTCTGAAAAAGCGATGGAACTGCTTCTCGCATCGCCTGCATTACACGTAAAAATGTTCCGATGCGCTCTCTACTGGCAAATGTACTTTACATGTTAGCTTCGATATGAATAGTGACGTCCCTTTTTGCGAGGCAGCTGCATTCTCAGGTCAAAAGACACTCACAGCCACAAATTCTTTCCTTCCTATGGCAACAGCCGTCCGAGATTTCAATAAGGTAAAACCCGTACTCTGTGCTTGAATGCAAGATTGCAGGTGCATCTACTGGCCACCTCCTGCAGGCAGGAGGCAAAATACACAATAAAATGTGCAGCTGTATCTTTGTGCATACTAATTACCCCCCTGGCACCCGGCAGCTGAGAAATTACCTGGAACCCAGCACTACGATGCTTTCCACATCCCTCATGCTAGTTTGAGATGCTACATTCCATAATTGTTTAATTGAGCTAAGACAAAGACAGTTGCGTTCATGAGATCATATTGGGCCAATGAACTCGCACCATCTACACACACACACACACACACACACACACACACACACACACACACACACACACACACACACACACACACACACACACACACACACACACACACACACGCACACGCACACGCACACACACATATATATATATATAACCACAATATGATCATCAGGCATGCTGACCGCGTTCGATGTAGGAAAGCAGCACCAATGTGAGACAGTTGTCATTTCAAAGGGTTCTGGAAATTTCGAGCACCTGGTATTCTTTATCATGCACTGACATCGCACAGTACACGGGCCTCTAACATTACGCCTCTGCTCAAAAGAGGTAGGTTTGGTATATCCCCTCTCCAAAGAGACATCCATTGACAAATAAGCGCTCATTCACAAGAAGAAAGGCAGGAATGGGTGTCTACACGTAAAAATG